CCCTGAAAGCCAATACAAAGTTAAAATATAAATGCAAATCTATCTGTTCTTGCTTCAGTCTGTAATTAATGTGTTTCAAATGTGTTTTAAAACGAATTTAATTCTGCTGTGTTTTAAAAACTATTGTGACAGGATTTGTGTATGGACTACAGACTGTTGTTTATATTGAGCTTATCTGTGTATGGGAGAGAAACTGGACACTAGGAACTAGGGTTCAAGAATCACTCCTTCATCCCAATACAAACACACCCAACATGTGATTTGATGGATGGCCACTGAGGTCAGAGACGCGGAGGTCGCTGTGAGTATATTTCAGCAACCCTCAAACGTGGCGTCGGTTTCGCGCTCGACATAAATGCGGATCAGTCAGAAATACACCGGGCAGGACAGGATCCAGTATCACAGACGTGTCCACTCTCACATCAGACACTTCACAAGATACACTTCAAGACACTACAGCTGGATGGTTATGTCAGCTCTTATTAAAGATACACTACGGAAAGATTTGCTAATTTTTGTTATAGGAATGATAAATGCCTAAAAATAAACTGGTCTTACCAAGAGTGACTCAAAAGCAGACGAAAAGTAAGAGTGATTAGTGACGTCAGCACAAATGGAGAGTCATTTTAAGGTGGAAAGAAATGTTTTTAAAGTACATTGTTTTAAGGAATTTTCGGGAACAGTTTAGAATAAGGTTTTATTAGTTAACATTAGTTAACATGAACTAACAATGAAAAATACCTCTAAAACATTTGTTAATCTTAGTTCATGTTAAATTCAGCATTTACAAATACATTATTAAAATCAGAAATTGTATCTGTTAATATTATTTAATGGGCCTGCGTGAACTTGAACTAACAATGAACAGTGGTATTTTTATTAACTAACATTAAAAAAGATGAATAAATACTGTAAAAATTGTATTGCTCAATGTAAGTTGAGGTTAGTTCATGGATTAACTATTAGGACCTTATTGTAAAGTGTTGCTGAATTTTCTTCTTTAACACAAAACACTACAGTTGAATAGGGTACATTGGTTTTAGACTTTCCCAGATAATTAATCACTTTAAGACAGTTGTTTTGTATTACAAGTCTTCTAAAATATTATGTTTAAATATGCAAATGAGGCATTATCTTAATGAAAAAGCACTAATTTGCATCCATTTCCAGAACATAAATCTGAACACTGGATTAATCTTGGTTAATTTTGTTGACATATTAGTTAAAGGTTTTTATAGAGGGGGTTCTGAATATCTCTTTTTGTCACTCCATAAAT